CATTAAATTGTGGATGTGTATCTATACACTGAGCCATTTTTGTTCATCAAACTGTTTTTCTTTTCTGTTTTTAGGGCGGCTGCATTTGCTGAGAAGAGTAAGTAAGATCTTATGTTGACATTAGAGGTAGGTAGGGTAGCTAAAAAATTGACTCAAGAATAAAACGTAGACTTCCAAGAACCGACTCAATGAATAATTATTTAAGACAGATCAAAATGTTACATTTTGTGCAGATTCTGATCATTCTAAAGACTAGGATCAAATAAAATTTTGAGCCATCTGATGATATCGTCATGGTAACAACAGGTAAATATTCCTAACATTGTCCTTGAATTCAGGGAAATTACCTTTGGAAAGTCCTTAAAGTCATAGGGAAGCCATACTTAACCGTCAAATCATTCTGGCTTAAACATGTATATAAATTTACTCTAATATTATACAAAAATTTAGAAAATCTCTATAAAAAAAAAAAATCCTTTCTTAAAATCTGTGTTGTAGTTTTTTTCGTTATCTTCTGCAGGCCAGTTAGTTATACGTCAGCCTGTACACCTAAATTCGGCCAATCATATATCAACAGTCATCTGTCAATCAAATTTTTCGTCTTAGAATCTTGATTCATATTTCGAAGCTAATATACGCAACGGTTGAAATAAGAATCATTTCCTTTCCCATTGAGTTCCGTCCCAGTGTTCACGGGGATGGACGTCTGTGTCTTCAGCAGGCGTAGAGCCTTCTACACCAAACCAAGCTTCTGCCGCCCTGGCGTCCTCTTCCACAACATCTTCTTCCCCACTTTCCTCCTCTAAATAAAAAATGTATGACGGAGGAGACTCATCCACGACCTCCGACCCTAAACTCTCCTCCTCTTGCATGTTTCCTCTGTCCATAGCGTTCCTTGACAGTGTCGTTTCTAAGTCACCAATTTAGTGCTACTTGGTCCCAATGGAATTTCCCATTGGGAACTTAACTAGCACTAAGTTGCTAACTGGTTAGCAAGATGCTTCCAAGGAACCCGCCACAACCAAACTTGCTTGCTACCTTCCGCCACAGCAATCCCGCCCTCTTGATAATCGACCAATCACATTCATTTTATTTACACGTGTAAAGTAGGGCACCACTCGGGACAATTCGGAAATGCAACGGTTGGAACGGACGATTTCCCTTTAAAATTTCTTGAATGTGATGTTAACCTGGTTTTCTCATTTTTCCTGATTTTATTATTTTAAGCTTTAATTCATCTCAGAGGAATAGAAAACCTCCATTAAAGCTTTTTAAACATTCAGAAAAGTTTAATTTAAGATTCGAGCCTCAGCTGCAGAGAATAAATACGGCCTCCGAGATTCTTTATTCCTGTCTTCTCTGTGTAAACATCGCCGCCTTGTTAAACCCACACTGTGGGTTTATGTGAGTCACCGAGTCCTGGAATAATATCTGTGCTTTGTCCTCAGACCGTGGCAGAGTGGTTGGTGGACTCCCTGATGTGGTCACTATTATGGAAGAGAAGGTGAGAAGCTTCCAGTCTCTGCATCAACTTTAGAGGCATGTTTGTTTTAGCGGGACGGTTACATCAGCTCTGTAGTAAGAAGGCTGAGGGTCAGAGCTCAACCGCCGCAGCAGCATTCCTGAGGAGCCGAGGCTGGAACGAGACACAAGATAACTGGGGCTGTAGGCTGCTGCAGCTCCTGTGAAACAAAAGATCAGTTGAAGTCTTCAGAAGCCTTTTTAAAAACATATTTATTCTATAATTAATACAGATTATATATATATATTTTTTATAAAATTTATAAAATCCCTTAGGGGGCAGGATTCACTAAATCCACGATCTAACCCTCATCAGTAGCAAATTTGGCGTAAAAATTATGTGATAACATTCCTCAATTGACTCAAATGGTTTGAAAGGTCAATAAGGAACTTTTGTTTTCATTATTCCTGACAGCAAGACAAAGACATTCCTTTTGCGTCTGGTAAAGATGTTCTGCCGCAGAACGGCCCTAAACCTGATTCTTTTTTTTTTTTTTTTTGTAAAGAGAGGCCCTTGTTTTCCTGTGAAGTGTCACTGTAACAGCCTAACGACTGCAAAGCTAAGAGAGAAAAGCAGGAAACACCGACCTTAGTCACCTTCCATTGTGACTTCCTGGTGTTTCTGAGAGTAATGACAAAAAACATGGATTCAGTTCAGATAAATTCTTTTTGTTTTGCCAACAGAAATATTTATTTTTTCATCTACTAAAAATAAAGCCAGCCACAAAATTCCAGAGAGGAAATTAAAAACGAACTTAATCTGTAGTTTAACAGCCAGTTTAACCAAACATTTCCTCTGATGCGGATCGCTGCTATGCTGGACATTTGACCACAACCACTAAAGGCAGTGTGATAGATTCCTTAGAGGGGAGAGTTTTAGTTGATTCACATGTGAGTTATTTTTCTGTGTCTGTGTTTAAACCGACTATTTCCTCTGGTCTAGTCTCTGAGCCTGACCTGCACCGTGTTCGGCGAGCCGACTCCTGAGGTCACCTGGTTCAAAAACGAGCAAGAGGTGGCATGCAATGAGCACACCCGGGTCACATTTGATGGCGGGAAGTTCGCCAGCCTGGTGATCAATAAAGTCACCCCCGACGACTCCGGCAAGTACAGCATCAACGTCCGCAACAAATACGGCGGCGAGTTCGTGGAGATCACCGTTAGCGTCTACAGGCACGGGGAACCGATCCCAGAGCCCAAACTGGGACACCCTAAAACCGCCGCGCCTGCAGCCCAGCCTGCACCGCCCAAATCCCCAGCCCCCTCCAAGACCCCTACCCCATCTAAGCCCCAGACCCCAGCTCAGTCCATGAAGAGCCCAACCCCTGCCTCCACCCCGGCATCCAAGTCCCCAACCCCC